CCGCTCACGTAATAGGCGTCCCGACGCTACATCACATCTCTTTGCGATTTCCTAACAGCAGCACGGTACAGTCCAGTGTTCAGGGAGCACCAGCAATAAGGAACTAAAATGCACGAATATTTTCACAGTGCTCCGCCCTGCAGACTGCACCGCCCAAACCTTCTTGTCTGGGAGGCACATCATGAGGATAGCGGGGATAGCAGCCCCACATGGCTTCTTTCCACTGTCGCCTGAACTAAAAGCTACTTCCTCCTTGCCTCTGATTTTCCCTACATTCCTCAGTATTCGATTTCCCTACATTCCTCAGTATTCTGGAAGTACATACTCCACCGGGATCATTAGAAAAGTGGATTCCTTGGCGAAAATCCCCCAACGTTCACAAATCCCACAAGGATGTGACTACGTTCCGCGCAGGTGACTCAACTACGGCAGTACGTTCGAGGCCTTGCTGGGAGGACATACTGACCCTGCCGAACGAGGCAACATGCAGTCTTGTTGCCAGCTTTGCACCCATGCCAGGGGTGTAATAGGAAGTCATTATTTCTCAGTCTGTGAAGTAGCCCTCGCAGGTGGAGCTAAATCCCTGCGACTGAGACGAGTTGTTATAAAAATACTGATTAATGTTTCCGTCCTGATAGTTGCTGATATTCTCAGAGCAGGAGAGGCGCATCCGTTGCTAATATTAGCTTCTACAAAAAACGCTAATCGTAAGTAATGGGCCAAACGCTTTGCCGCGGCGAGCACTCGAACCTAGAACTCACCTTTACCGGGCTAGCAAGCTTACCAGCTTTCTGTTAATCACCTTGCCCCCAGCGATGCTCACTTTCGTTACGCTAGTGGCATAACTCCTTGGAAATTTTCAATGGGAACTTCAAAACACTGCTCTAAAAACACACTGGAGGGCAGCCGCAAACCTTATTCCAACTCTTGCACTACTATGAAAGAGGAGGAACAAAATGCACTCACGAGCCTCTGTTACCAAGTACAGCCCTGGAGCACGTCCTGTCGCTGAGGGTAATTTTTGCAAAATACCATCTCCACCCTACTCACCTTTGTTCCCCTTTCCTATCACTTCTACCCGAAAGTTTGCTGTCGAGCAGGGCGAAGGAAGGGGGAAGGAAGGGGGTGGGGTGGTGTAGGTCGCCAGTAAACATCTACCAGTTAAACTATCGGGGTAGTAGTTGTAAAGGACTTCCGCTGATTCTGCAGCGGATTCTCGAATAAGGAAAAAAGTCTCTCAGACAGAGTATGGCCCCGTGCCGATGTACCAAGTGCAATGAGAGGTCCAGAATAAGTAAATCAGAAAGTGTATTTGTAGATTGTAAGTGTAAATCGATAGCCGTTACCAGGTTGATGCGATGCATGGCGTCTTCAGTGAGTGGAAAAGGTCGTCGCGATCGTGGCGAGGTCGGAGAAGAAGGAGCCGATGGACCTTGTTCACAGATTAGCGGAGGCGACTGAAAAAAGTAGATTCATCGAAAAATATTGAAATGTATGAAGTTTTCGGAAATGGACAAATGGATTTTCTCCTTCGAGGGACACACGGCCCCTCGAAGGATGGAAAATGAGATATTGTGAGCCTTGAAACCTCGTTAGTCCCCTTGAAGTGACCTCAGAAACAATAAGAGAAAGGCATTTTGTATTTTGATACCTATTCAAGAAGTGATCGGCCTCAGCAATACGCCGGCTAAAAGGACAAGCAGGCCCGATATCCCCTCTCGGTTGTCGTCACCTGATCAGTTGGGCGCACAAATAAGCCCTTCTGAAGAGGGCAACACGCCCAGGAGCCCCAAAAGTAGCCTACCACCTTTTCCAGGGTAAAATCAATGAACACT